GACGTGTGCTCTTCCGATCCCCCCAAAACCCCAAAACCCCAAAACCCCATCAGTTGAAATTGTAAGCGTGAATGATAAAATATAAATGAACTTATTTAAATAAAAATGCCATTTATCTTAATTCTCTATGTAAGAAAATATGAAAGATGACAACCATATTACATCTGGTTCGATGTTTTCAGTAGAGTGAAGGTTCAGCTGGAACTGCTTTAAAGGTATGACTAATTCTTTTAAGGATTATCAGTCTTTATTTGATTAATTCGCTCATCACTAATCTGTCAGAGATTAGAACCTCTTGTATTTCTCTCTTGAATGGTTCGCATTTTTAGAGTAGATTTGCATCTGGTTTCTATCCATTTGATTGGCTTTTGACATGTTCATAGCAGTCAATCAAATTTTGGTTAGCTTCAACAAACAATTGGAAAGGTGTTTTCTCAATTTTTTGTTAATTCTTGCTCATTTTATAATGATTATTATTTTAATAATTATAATTGATGTTAATTAGAATAAGAAAAAACTTTGAATGAATATATAATCTAAAGAAACAGTCAAATACACATTGTTAATTATCTATTATAGCTGATAGAGAGATGCTTTCATCTAGTTTGGCCACCGATTGCACCAGCTCCTGGTCTTTAATTGTTAGCAACATCTGGGTCATTCTAGGCTTCATTTACGAGGTCAGCAATAGATGCCTCTAATTCATCAATTCTCTTTCCCATATCATCAATCCTTGATACAATATTATCACTCATATTCTAGAATCTTTGTTGCATCTAGTTCAGCATGTTTTATACAAGTTGAGTCAACTCATTAGCGTTGTCAACACCTATAAGTTGAATAAGGTTACTAATTTGAATTAGAGTTTACCATCTAAGTTTTATTGATTAAGATCTGCCATTGAGGAATATTGAGAGTTTAACTTAAATTATAAGCTTAAATTATAATTTTAAATTTAAATACACACTTAGTTCATTTGTCTCTACTATTATCAACTTTAAAAAGAATGAGTATATTTTAGTTCAGTAAAAGACTCTTCGCCAAAAGAAGAAATTATAGAAATGAACCATTTATTAACTTCATTGACGCCAAAGAGAAACCATTTTTAAGTCCATACTTAGTAAAATCTCATAATACCGACAAACACATATATAGTTAAAAAGCACTCATCTACTCTAAAGTTCAAACGAGCTTATTTAAATTTGTGATCACAGAAATATATAAAAGTACTTGGAGGATTAAGTTCTAGATGGAGTGGAATATAAAGAAGTAATCTATGAAAATGAATAATTTCTTTAGTTAGCTTTTGTTGGGAGATCTAATGTTGGCAAAAGTTCATTGATAAATGCAATAATGGGATAGAAACTAGCTGATGCATCAAAAACTCCTGGAAAGACTCAAAATTTATTTTTCTTCAGGAATGAAATGCTTAAAGCTCATATTGTTGATTGTCCTGGTTATGGATATGCAGAGGCAGCTGACTCATAGAAAGAATAGTGGAGAAAATTTATGGAAATATATCTCAAGAAGGCATTCTAGTACTTAGAATTTTGAAATAATATTATAGCTTACATCGGCTTGTACTACTTATTGATATGAGTGTTGGATTAATGGATTCTGACAAAGTTCTGATAGATATGCTTTCAAATAGTCACAAGCCCTTTATGATAGTTTTGACCAAGGCAGATAAAGTTAAGGAATAAGATATTCCAGTTAGAATGCAGGAAGTAGCAGATTTTATGAGAAAAGCAGGGTCTATTTGTAGTCCAATTGTGCATATTGTCTGTGCAAGGTATAAATATACTTTATCTGAAAATTTTAGAGATGGTTATGGACTATAAGAATTTATGGCTAATCTAATTTATATTTTACAAATGTCTATATTGAGAAAACCCACATGATTTATTGAGTATACTTAATAATTAGCTGAACTTAATATTTTAATATTTAATACTAGCTTCAAATAAAGAGTTTTTACGAGAGAATGAATACATTTTTGAATTAAGGAGTTTATGATATTATGAAAACTTGTGCAAGTTCAACACAGAATAACTAAAAGTATCAAAATTTATCTTTATCTCAATCATCTGACTCTTCCTCGCTGCTTGATTCCTTCTTCTTCTTTTTGTCTTTCTTATCCTTTTTATCCTTCTTTTTATCTTTCTTTTCCTTCTTCTTTTCTTTCTCAGCTGCTTTCTTATCTTTCTTTGACTTTTATTCAACTTCTGATTCTTCTGATTCCTCCTTTGCTGGCTTTGATTTTTTGGTCTCTGCTGGCTTTGAACTTCCATTTTGGTCTTTCTTGACTCCTAGTTTGTTAGCTACTGCATCAATGCTAGTTCCAACATCTGGTTGTCCGAATAAAAGTTTCCATGCTTCAGGAGTGGACTCTGTTACTCTACCATATTTATCGAGTTTACCCTCGGTCTTAAGAGTTTCCTTCTTTTTAGCGAAGGGACCAAGCTTCCATTTACGCTCATAAACGTCTCTCTCTAAAATAACTCTCTTGGTCTTGGCGACGATACCGTGATCACAAGTAGCAATAGTGGAGGTTGTCATTTATGCAATAGCAAGAGCGATAGCCTCACCTTTAGTTGTCATAAGAATAACTTCTTTTCCAACTTCAATTCCTGATTCGTATCTCAGGACTCCTGGAAGCATGAGTTAGGCTCCGTAGCAGACTGCATTAACTGAGGTATCCTTTACCACAATACGAGGATAGTGAATCAATAAGATTTCAAGTGGCATAATAACTCTTCTAAGATAGGTCTCATTATTGTATTTCTCAAAATGCCATTGAGCATCCTTAACATCATGCATAGTGACCATGGTATCATCTTCCTTGAGAGCACCTGATCTAACTCTTCTGAGTTCTTGCATATGAGCACCACATCCCAATAAATAACCGATGTGAACACACATAGTTCTAACATAGGTACCTGCCTCACAACTGAGCCAGAAAATAGCCATATCTCTTTTGATATCATGCTCGTATAATTTCGATTCATAAATAGTTCTAACTCTCAATTCTTTCTTAACTGCAGAAATAAGAGGGGGTCTTTGGAAACAAGGGCCAGTCAAAGCTTAGATAGCCTTTTCAAGAGTCTTAGTCTTGTCAATGTGTTGATGGAGTTTAACAATTGCGACATACTCTTTACCAGCTGATTGTTGTGCTTTAACAAGTCTTGTAGCGTTATTAATGCAAACAATCAAACATCCAGTAACTTTTGGATCGAGAGTACCACTGTGACCTATTTAAATTTATTAGTGTCTACTTCTTAAGAAAAAAGATATTTATGATATGGAGTGTCTATCAATGATATAGCAAATACCGATTTAATCACTTACCAGTTTTATCAACCTTTAGAATACGTTTAATCCAGGCTACGACTTCGTGAGATGAGGGATTTGATGGCTTATCAAGGTTAATGACTCCATAACGTTTGTGCTCAAGAAGAGGTCTGTTAGTTGGGGACCAACCGCATGGTAATGGAGTGAAGTGGTTAGTTTTGACGTTCAATTTATCATAATTCTATTAGATAGAGTTTAATAAGATATTTGATAATGTTTGGCTTTACTTTTAAAAGTAATGGCCAGTTTGATGTATCCATGCTTGGTCCACCAGTAGATGGCTTAATCTGATACTCAACCTTTGGTTGTTTCTCAGATTTCTTGCCGCCTTTCTTGGTGACAACATGATTATCTTCATCACTTGATGACATATTATATTCCCTTAATTATTAAATACTAATAATAAATAATTATTACCTAATATGTTAAAATAAAATTTAGATAATATTAGTGATATTAAAGCTTAAAGAATACAATTATAACTTTTCCTTCAATTAAATCGAAGGAATCATGTGAATGAGAATATTCGTTTTACTAATCAATTGTAATACTTAGATTTGAATTCATCATCCTCATCTATATCTTACCCCCTTAAACTTAAATAATATGTGAATTGAAATTTAGGTGAATGAATCTAGCAGTAAATGAAAATGTTGAGAGCAAGCCAAATTATAAAGAGAATGTAAGTAGTCACTACCTCACAGACAAGCCAGTTCTTTATATTATCTTCAATATGATCTCCGACAATTAGTGCTCGATAAAAGATAATTTAAACCACAAAGTTAAATACAATTGAAGGAATATCAATGATACATTTAACAACGAAAAATTTGAAGTCTTTCATGATAAATCCCATAAAATCCAAAATATATCCAATTATATCAAGAGAATGCACAACTATTAGCATCAGTAGAAGTTAGCTGTAATCTTTAGAACCATCTCCTCTTATTACTAAGGACATTGTAAGGTAGGCACTTGCTATTATTATGTTTATCGATTTGATGCTAAAATAGAGTTCTCTATTAAAAGCCATCCATATTTTAATGCCTTTTGATAAACTAAACTCTATATTCTCTTAATCATCTGGATAGATATCATCCTCATAGTACTAGGTCTGATGATAATACTTGTAATCTCCAGACATTTAAATTCTAAATAATTTTCTGATACTTTTATTAAAATCAAAATTATAATATATCTAGACCTCGAGGGGTTTTGGGGTTTTGGGGTTTTGGGG